GCTAAGTTTAATATTCACTCACATCTCTTCTCAGAAGCCATGAAATAACCCTGGGCTGGGGCCAGCACAGGCACTCAGAAAAACACCACCCCATCCCTGCTCTGGAGAAGGAGATGGTTTGTGGCATAATAACAACATTGTCTGCTCAAGCCTCAGAAAAGGCAACAGAGGACAGCTTCCCTCTAACAGGAAGAAGGAAAAGTGGAACTGAAAATCATTTGCATGTTTAAAATTAGACCTTCTGTGGGAGCTGACACTACTTGGCTTTCAAAGTGGCCCCCATCTGCTGTCTCATTACCACCACCCCTCACCCAGGCATTTACATGCCATGGAAACGCTGAAACAATAGGATGACTATCAAGGAATCCTATCGCTGATAAGGAAGCAATAGCAAATTTCCTACAGCTCCTGTCTTCCCAGGGGTCACCAGAAAAGCCACTGAAAGCCACAGGAGGAGGCGACAAAATGGCTGCGGACTCCTCTGGCCTGACACAGCTGCAGCGTCCAGGGATCTCCACTTTGTCCCTCTCGTCACCACTTCTTCCCTGGCAAACCCAGGGCCAGCCCGTCCTCTGCAGGGGGCAGCAAGGACACCCCCAGCACAGCCTGTGTCACAACTGTGACTGGTGAGCTGGAGGTGGCCAGTCGTGTCAGCCCCACAGCCGGTAAGAGACACGAACGCAGGCTGCCTCGCTCACTCACCACGACTGACTGCGCCCCATGCAGTATGCCCCCGGTTTAAGAAATGTATCTCGGTTACAAGGGTGCCATAACCACACCATCATTTACATCATTATTTTTACTCAATATTTTTCTCTTTATATTTATTATTTAAGTATTTGTTTATTTAGCTGCCCCAGGTTTTAGCTGGGGCACAAGGGATCTTCGATCTTTGGGCTTGCGGGATCTCTAGTTGCAGCAGGTAGGATCTAGTTCCCCGACCAGGGATCGAACCTGTCCCCTCAGCCCCAGCACTGGAAGTGAGGAGTCCCAGCCACTGGACCACCAGGGAAGTCCCCTCAACATCTTCCTTCAGCTCAACTTTTTATTAAGTTTACACAAATGTATTCACCATGACACTCATGAATTTGACATCTCCCTTACATTTTTACCAAAGCTCCCCTAAGACAAATAATTACTATTTTTAATGTTATGTGAGCCGACTTCATTTGGCACACCCCTGGGGTTATTCTGCACCACTCGGTGGGAAACAATAAATACCTGTTCAATGAAGAAATGACCTGAAGCCTCACATCCTCCCCCCAGATAATAGCAGCCCCCAACTGAACTTGCACCTTAGATTTCACGGAGCAGTTCCCCTTCTATCTTAGCTGATCCTCTCAACCACCCGGTGAAGCAGGAAGTATTAGTCCCATTCTCCAGATAAGGAAATGAGAAGTCACAGAGGTTAAGTGGCTTGCCCAAGTTTATGCAGCAAAGTGACTGAGGGAGGACCTAAACCCAGCTCTTTCCATCCCAAATTCCATTCCATCTCCACCAAGGCAGGCCCGCCTTGCAGATTCAGGCTCCCAAAGAAACATAAGCCAGGACAGGGTAAGGCCCTACGAGCCTGCCCTTCACAAGTCAGTCACCTCCTCTCTCCCCCACCCCGTTTTTGTTTCTGTTTTTTTTTAAGCATAGTTGATTTACAATATAGTATTAATTTCTTCTGTATAGCAAAATGATCCACTTATACCTATATATACATCCTTTTTAAAATTCTTTTCCATGATGGTTTATCACAAGATATTGAATATAGTTCCCTCTGCTAGGGAACTTTGTTGTTTAACCATTCTATATATAATCATGTGTATCGGCTAACCCCAAACTCCCGCTGCGCCTCTCTCCCCCACCCCCTGCCCTGGCAATCACAAGCCTGCTCTCTGTGAGCTGTTTCTCTTCTGCAGGTAGGTCCGTTTGTATCTCCTTCTCTCCCAGTTGAACACCGAAGACTTTGTAAAACATGCATTCTCACAGCACAGGACAGTAAACCGGGGTGTCAGAGATGGCAAACACGGCTCCGGCCAGACTATTATGATGAATCTTTGGTAAGTTCAGAACTTTAGTTTTCTCCCAGATAAAATGGGACCAGGAAATCCCCAGAAGTCCAGTGGTTAGGACACAATGCTTTCAGTGCCAGGGCCCAGGTTCAATCCCTGGTCAGGGAACTAAGATCCTACAAGTCACAGAGTACAGCCAAAAATTTTTTAAAATAGGTAAAATTTAAAAAAATAAGATGAGGCCATGAACAGCACCTACTTCTCAGTTATTTCTGATATGGCCAAATGGGATAGTGCATTAAAACCCTTAGCACAATGCCTGCCACATATAAAGCTACCTATTAATTACAGTATTAGCAGCAGCATTCTATTAGAAGGGAAATGCACAGAAAATTGCCTCTTATCCTGCACTCAAAATAATTCCCCTGGCCAAGCAGTGAATAAACTAAGTAAGTAATTGCTGATGATGTGCTAGTTAAACCCAGCAACTTTGCCTGGGTCTCAATCCCAAGCAAAAATTACTTTTAGGAGCTAAATAACCTCTCTGCTGACCAAAATTGCTCACTCGGGAGCCAGGATTCTCTTTGCTTAGGAAACCTTGGGTATTCCAGGGTTATCTTTATCATAGAGCTAAGGTTGAAGTCAGCTCAAATTCACAGTCTAACCATAAACCAATTTGCTCTGTTTTCTTAAATTGCCTGCAAACAAAACATAATCATTCTGTTTTTTCCATTGTTGTTCTGAAGCAAAACAAAAATGTTTAAAGTTGCCTCTATGAGAATTTAACAAGCAATTTGGAAGAAATCAAAATATTTTTTGTACCCTGGATGAAACAGGTAGGCAAGCAGACTTAAGGATTAGCTACAGTAGATAATAAACACAAACAGTTATTATTCACCAGGAAACAAGAAAACAAAAGAAAAGCAAAATCCAAAACACCATGAGACCAACAAAACAGCTATCAGTCACCAGTTCGGTTTTTGTTTTTGTTTTTCATTTGAAAGCAGTCCACGATCAAGCTGATTTCAAAAACAATCTGTCAGGACTACTTTTCTCAAGAGAAGAAGACCAAGGCAGGGAGGGTGGATAGCTCTGTCACATTGCCTAAAACATACACATAAACCAAAATTAATGTGCAAAAACGCTAGGAGAATGGGTGAAGTCATTGCAACCAGTCAAGTCCACATGTTGGAATCATCCCCAGCCATCCTTCCTGCCTCAGAGAAAGGGGATGAGAAAACAGGTTCAAAAATTGCTTTTCCAGCCCTACTAAGCACTGAGTCTTCTAGCATCTCAGCTTCCCTGCTTCTGTATCTAGCCTCATGAATGCCCAGAGTGCATTTTTTCCACAACTTGCCCATTTTTTTAAACCTGCTACTGTTGATTTCATTTTAAAACATACACATACACACACACAATCCAAGCCTTACTACACCAATCAAGTGTTAGGGAGCCAGTCAGACCCTTCACCCACATTTCCTAAATGTATAAGCTTTGAAAACTTCAAATATGACTTTCCATCTAAAATATGATTTGACTTTTTTAACTTTTTATTTTATTTGGAGTAAATAGCTGACAACAATGTTGTGATGTCAACACAATGTTTCAGGTGGACAGTAAAGGCAATCAGCCAAACATACACATGGAAAATATGATTTGACTTGGAAAACTCTAGGGCTTTCCTGGCGGCTCAGTGGTAAAGAATCCACCTGTCAAGGCAGGAGACATGGATTTGATTCCTGACCCGGGAAGATCCCACAAAAAGATGGAAAAAAGAAAAACTCTATTCACACCCACAGTTTCAGGAGTACACAGTGAGGCAGCGCTGTGCCTACAGTAAAATTAAGAGCAAAGTGAAAAATGGCAAAAAAAAAAAAAAATCATGAAAACCAAAGACACAGGCAAGGGACACAGGTTTCAATCCCATTCCATCTCCTCTACCACCCACCATCCTCTACCGTTGGCCTCAGTCCAATCACTTTCTTCCCTGGGCCTCAAAAGCCTTATCTTTAAAAAATAGTAATAATAATAAAGGAATTTGAGCTATCTTGAAGTCTGGTCCAGCTCAAAAATGCACTGACTCCCTGAAATATCCAACATCAAAATGAACTGTCAAATGTGGATTTTGAAGATGCTTTTTCAGAAAGCCTTTTAGATTTCCCATTTTATAATGCATCCAAAAACAAGAAATAGACTCCTCAAGTTTCTACAGAACAAATTAGAGAGGAAGGAAATACCTGAATAGGGGACAAGTGTCGCATGGCAAAGATGCTATTGAAACACAAGGAAGGATTGGGCAAGAAATAAATTTACCCAAGAACTTTTTGCTGATCCCAAACAGAGCTAGCAACCACTATGGCCCATGCAAAATGATAAATACTATAACAAGATATATTTGCACCAAAGTAAACTAAAAATAAATGAAGTATCTGGTACAAGAGATCTTCAATATAAGGCGATATTTTTTTAATCTCATATACTGTTCTCCTTGAATTTCCTTATAGGGACAAGGAGAAAGTCCATACACACTGTACCTTATTAATAATCCCACCTGGATTCCCTTTAGTGTTCACAAGGCTATTTCAGACACTGGCCAGTGAAAGCCCCTCAGACAATCCCATGGGGCAGGTGGTGCGTGAGTGTGTGGGTGTGTGTGTGTATGTGTGTTTTCAGCCTCATGGAACTCTTTGCAACCACCTGGACTATAGGCCACTAAAGCTCCTCTGTCCATGGAATTTCCGAAGCAAGAATACTGGAGTGGGTTGCTACCTCCTCCTCCAGAGGATCTTCCCAACCCAGGGATCAAACCCACATCTCTTGCGTCTCCTGCATGGTAGGCAGCTTCTTTACCGCTGAGCCAACAGGCAAACCCATGGGGCAGGTGGTCCCATCCTACCAAAGCGATTAACTGAGGATGGAGGAGACTGAACTTGGCCCTGGAGCTGGTCTTCTGAATCTGACAGAAGATTATCAGAACCCTGAATCTGACATTCTCTGCAGGAGGTCACCTGCCTTCCAGCCTTCCTGAGAGACCGGTCAAAGCCTGCCGGGGGAAACTGGAGGACACAGACAACCAGAGAGCCCTCTGGGTGCGGAGAGCTACTGGGGCCGCCAGGCCCTGGTACCTTCCCGTCCTGCCTGCCGGGCTGCATTGCTGCCCCAAGGCTGGCGTTTCTGCTCTCAGGCAATCTTTTTATTTGTGCTTGAAAAGTTTTCCCCTGCAGTAAACCGTAAGGGCAAAGAATCAAAAGTAAACAGAAAGATATATACGTGTATACGTATAACCAATCACTTTCCCGTACACCTGAAATTAACACAATATTATAAAGCAACTAGACTTCAATTTCAAGAAAAGAAAGAAAAAGGAAGGGACCTAGGATGGGGCGTTGGGGGGGGGGGTAGTTTTCCCTGAAGCCAGGTTCCCTCCCCAGTCAATAACTCGCTTCCCAGGTTTCAAACATCCTGTTCTTAGAGCTGCCGTCTGTATGAGACATTTTTTCCTTCACAAAAAAACGCCAAGGCCCCTTCCATCGCGGGTTCGAGACCTTAACAGGCTCCTAGAAGCGGACGAACGCGCCGGTTCAGCTGCCGCGATGGGCTGGGCGATTCTGCTTTTTCACTTCTCTCCTTCCAGTTCCCTATCTGTGAAATGGGGACATCGCTCAGCTGCCCTGCCTCACCCCATGGGAACACCGTGAAGGGGAAAGGTCGGCCGCCGCTCCGCCAGGCCGGCCCGGCTCCGCGGTCGGAGCTCTCCACAAACACGCCCCCTCCGGCCGCCTCTGCCGGGCGAGCCGGGCCCGCGCCCGCCAGATGTGACCAGCTCGGGGCCGGGCCGGGCCAGAGACTGTCTGCAGCCCGCGCGGGGGGCGGCCACGGCGAGGCTCCGGAGCCCCCACCCCCACCCCCCGGGACCCCGAGCCAGCCGCCCTCCCTCGGGGACGCGGGAGCCGGGGAAAGGGCTGGGTCGCCGGCGCGCGAGGCCGGCCTCCAGCAGGGGAGGGCCCCGGGGACGCGGAGCCCCCCCACCCCACCCCGGCCATCTCCTCCGATGCCCGCAATCAGGACGCGCCCGGGCAGGTGCTGGGGCTTCCAGTCCCGCCCCTCCTCCTGCACCCCCCCCC